ACTGGGGAGGCTGAAGCAGGAGAATCGCTTAAACCCAGGAGGCAGAGGTTGCGGTGAGTGGAGATTGCGCCATTGTACTTCAGGCTGGGCAACAAGAGCAAAACTCTGTCTCGAAAAAAACCAAAAAAACAATTAAGGATTGCCTCCCTGACAATGTGGAACTATAAAGTGATATTTTGGCTATATTGAAAGGATGCTGAACCAAGCTCTCAACACCATCCCAAGCAGATCTAAACTGTATGTTTTTCTGAGATGCACAAAGATGGAAGTCTTCTTGCTTGAGTGGACTGTTTGGGAGGGCTTATGTATGGAGTAAAGATACTACTTGATTTTCTAGGTTAAGTAGGTCTACCCATGTGCTTCTTTAAAATTCACAGAAGTGGGAAGTTCCTTATCTGGGCAAAGTCATTAGGAGTGTTTATCGCCTGAGCAAAGCTGCTGTTTGAGTTGTCAAGTTAAGCTAGTCTAACCCCTTCATTTCTTCAAAAAGGAAGGAGACGGGCATCTCCTTGCCTAGGCAGGATTGTTGAGGTGGGCTCTGAGACTAGGTGAGTAAAAAAATCAGCATAGGAACTCTGTAGGTGAAACTTTTCACCATGCTTTTGAAGACACCTAACTATGTGCTGCAGGTTAGCTATGAGGTTGACTGGTATCTGCAATTGGGCACCACAGCTGGCAGGAACATGGATCTTCCATCAAGATCCACTCTTGTCATTGTGCCTCTTTCTTTGGTTCTATCTGCACATGGGCGGTTTAACAATACCATTTCCCCTAGAGCTCCCTGTGAGGTAAGGCCAGAGTGGGCTTCCTGGAAAGCACCTTGGATTGCTGGGGACACATAAAAATAAAAACATGGTAGAATGTAATCAAATATTTTCCAGGAGAGAGGGTGTTTTCACTGTTTGACCCTAAATCCAATATGCCTGATAAATATATTGATGCTCCCCCGTTTACAATGGTATTATCTTCCAGTAAACCCATTATAAATTTAAAAAATATTGTAAGTCAAAAATACATTTAACATACTGAACCAACTGAACATCATAGTTAACATCACCTACCTTAAATGTTCTAAAAACGCTTGTGTTATTCTACAGTTGGGCAACATTATCTGGCAACACAGTATACTAGTGTAGAGTATCAATTATTTACCCTCATGATTGAGTGAATGGGGACTGCAGCTTGTGGCTGCTTCCCTGCAATGCAAGAGAATATCATACCACTTTCTATTGAATACGTAACACCTTCACACCATTGTACACTCAAAAGTTTCATCTGTATCCATATGGAATCAAGGACTGTACCCAATTATTGACACATGCTATAAGGTTACACTGTAAGATTGCTGATATTTTTAATAATTATAAAAATAAAGATCTTGGAGGGAAGAGGAAAGAGCGAGAGAGAGAGAGAAAGTACTAGGTCTACTACTGTGTCCTGAGGAACTCTTAAAAGTGTACCCTACTAGAACAAAAGCTACCAAAGAAATAGGAAAGAAAAGAAACAAAACAAAATTAGGAGAATATTAAGGAGGTAAAGGGAAAACTATTTGGAAAGGAACTGAACAGTCACTTCTTAAATACTGGTGGGAAACCAAGAAAACTAAGTGGACTCAGCAACAAGAAAATAATTTAACTACCTCAGAAAATTTGAAAGAATTACAAGGATTGAGCAAATTTATAGAAAAAATGAAGGCAAGTATATGGAAGTGGTATCTGGAAAAAATTTAAAAAAAAAAAGCTCCTTGAGATGTTTTTGTGAATATCAGATATGTGGATGGTATTTAGAGAAGGATGTGTAATCCCAGCCGAATATTGGTAGGTATGCATAGTAAGTATAAAGAGGTGTTTAATGGGAAAAATTTCATAGAGAAAATACAGCTAAATATTAGGGTAAAAATATTTATCAGGCAGACGAGTATACCTGAGAAGCCACAAGTAGAAGAAATGGAAGTTGGGTCATGCAAACTGGGATACTTCTTCCCATTACAAATGAAGGAAAAAAGAGCAGTATGGGGGCAGATCGAGAGGTCACCTTTGTAGATTTGGAGGCAAAAGAACACAGGAAACCAATACAATGATCTCTATCTTCTCAGTGAAATTGGACACAATTTCATCAGCTATAAGGAAAAGAGAATTAACAAGGCAAGGAACATTTGACGAGTAATAAAAATTTTTCTACAATATATCTCTCGAAAAAGCAGGTTTCTCAAAATATGTCTAAAAGGAGAGAAAGTGTAACAAAGCAATTTCATTGTGTTTATAATTAGGAATCAGTGAATTTGAATCCTGTTTGCAAACTTTATAAACTTTCCTGTCCAACTTTTTTTTTTCATAAAAATCAAAGTTATAAGAAAATTCCCAAATGAAAGAAATCTCTTTTCCTGGAGTGGGTATGAAGCTTGATAGGAAGATATCTTTATATAAAGCAGCTTCTAGTCTGAGCCATAAAGCTTAGGTAGAACCTGGACAAGAGACAGTAGAAAAAGCAGTGTTCTCAAGATGAAAAGTAAAAGCAAAGTCATGAAAGTAAAAAATGGTAGGTTATCCTGCTGTGCCAAACTCATCCGCGGTGGGGCGGGAGGGGGCAAGATGCTATACTTGCTTCTCTTTCCTATCTTCTGAACTAAAGCACATGTGTGTATGTTAACAATTACAGTTCCAAAATGCAAAGATAACAATGAAAAGAAAAACAGACACGCATACAACTATATATATATACATATATATGTACATAACTATATATGTGTGCACACACGCACATACACACAAACACACACACACACACACATCAATAAGTGTGGGTCTTACCCTAGAAAGATTTTTTTTTTCTGTCTGAAATTCATTTTAAAGTGGGAAAGATATAAACTAAGGGAATTGATATTTTTGTTGTTGTTGCTTGGCTGCATGTGTCTATGGCAACAAACAGTCTTAAGTGTGCAAAAACGACAGAAAGTCAAATGAAATATTATATATATTTTTACTACATTGATTCATGGTAACATAGTTAATGACTTTTTTTCCCTCAGCTCCCCTTTAAACTAGAATCTTTTTCAGCGGTGAGGCTGCCTATATTTTTTCAGTGCAAGGTACACAGGTAAAGATTTCAGATGGGTAAAATTGAATGTATGCATAATTTAAATGAGGGAAGAAGAGAGCAAAAATGTTTTTTTTTTAAGTTCATTAAAGCAAATTATTTTTTACATCTGAAAAATTAATTCTCATTGTATTCATTGTCATCACTGACTCCTCCTGACTCTGTTATTTGTCCTCAGCCAAACCTTCTGCAAAAACTCATTATTTGTAAGCATATATGTTAAATCCTCATTAAAACTATATAGATATTACATTTCATTTCTTTAAGTTACATGTTTCTTTTCCTCAAACCTTTTAGCAAGGTACATAATAAATAAATACGTATGGAAATTATCAGATAAGCATGAATTTTATTGGTAGCATATTAGGCAGCCATAGCAAACTGCTTATAACTTCAAACCTGGAAGGCTATTCTGGGGTAAACTCCTGAAAAAGATTATATCCAAATCTCATAGATATATAAATTAAATCATTGATGTAACTAAACAACTTAAAAATAATAAAATCTGAATCACACAAGTTTATTTTAAAACGTAATTTATCTTCAAACATAGCTCTGATTGTGAAATCTTTTTGATATTTATGTTATTGTTTTCTGCACTAAAGTTTACCAAGAAAATGAAGAGGAAGGGCCATATAAAATGAAAATTAAAAGCTATAAATTTCCATAGGGATTACATTGCCTTAACATGTAAATGTGTAATTATATAAAATTAATTTTGCTCGTGTCAAGTATTTATATATACTTATACATATATGTTTATATAATACATGTATAAGTATATATATGTATTCTTATATATATATATATACTTACATAACACATGTATATAAGTATACATAAGTATTTGTACATACACATGTATATGTTCTCAATATTTATTGTCATTTTAGACTGATATGAATTTGGATAGAGTTTATAATAGGTAGATTCTCATACAAATGTTGAAGCACATTGCAGGCTGAAAAAATTATGTGAAAAACAAAATCTTGTACTTTGTATGTATACAAAGTATATATATATATGTACAGTTACATTCTTTAGAGCTAAAGGTGACAAAACAATATTCAAACAAACTCATCCAGAATAATCACCAGATTTTCCAATTTTAAATATGAAAAGAGGTTAGAGCGGTCAAAAATATCTGTAAGTGAATCCAAAGGCCAAATTTGGTGGTGGTGGGCTTCTGGTAATTAATAACACCATTGGTCAGGGGAAAACTTAAACACATACATTCACTCTCAGCCATGGTATTAGAATGTCAATCTTTCTTCCCTTTGTCCTGACCAGGAGATCTATACCATAAACATAAAATGACCTCACATTTTGTGGATAACACCCCACTATGGGCACCAAGGAAGGAGAGCTGTCCAGACTCCAGGTATAATTAGTGTCTGAAGAATATCTTAGTTTATAGTGTTATTACTCAGCTATTTCCTTTATATAAGCTAGATACATGTAAGCAGTAAGTTATGTCAGGCACTAATTCTATAAACTAATATATGATTATATACAAAGATTATATAAAGGAAATAGCTGAGTAATAACACTATAAGATATTCTTCAGGCACTAATTGTACCTGGGGTCTGGACAGTTCTCCTTCCTTGGTGCCCATGCGGGGGGTGAGGGGTGTTACCCACAACATTTCACTCAACAGAAGAGTAGTTGAAGACTCCCCTACGTCCAATACAAATTTAACATGTGCAATATGAAAAATCTTAGTGTATCAGTTTTATCTTGCTATAACATAAAGGCACAAAGCATAGTGAAAAAAATATTTCAAAGAAAAAGCATTTTCTGATTTATATAACAGAGTCTCTTTCTTCTGCCTGACCACATTGTGGTTTAAAAGGATTTCTTATCAAACTCTTACCATAACAAAGAAAAAGAAAGCTTCTCTTACCAGAGTGGATATAGCTTTAACCTTGCTATAGTGTTTTCTGCTGCTCTTGTTTGAAAGACAGATCCACAGCGGCTTTTTGCATGCAAGTGATCTGGCTGATCTCCAGTTCCTGCACAAAAAACCAGTATAATTGGCTCTCAAAAAAGTGTTGTAAACATTCATCATGATGGCA